CACATTATAAAAAGAAAATGGTACTTGTCTTTTATCAGACATTGCACCAGCTAGTATAATTAGTGTCATGTTTGTCTTTTGAATTAGAAAGCAAAAACAGGATAAAGCATAAAAAGAAATAAAAATGTATGTGTAGCTGTGTGCTCGCAATATCAAACACATGAGTAGTCTGAGCCCAGTTTTAAAGATATGTATAACTGAATTATTATCCTGGTATGAATGTGTATACAGATTTTAGCCAGAATAATTCCCCTATTTCACTACCTGATAAAGAATCATAGTATAACATAAATGTGTCTGGTGATAGATGCCAGCCTTTGTTCCAATGTACAGGTTGAACTTTTAAAATCCAGCACACTTGGGACCAGACTTTTGCTAGATTTCTGAAATATCTCAATTTCATCACCAAAACCCCTTATATATGTCATATATTATTGTTGTTAAATGATCTTAACCAGGGCATAGTTAGAAGGGGGTGTAAAATATATCTCACCATTTTCATACGGGCTTGAGTCTGTTCTCTCCATTTTTAGTGGGGGGAAAATTCCCATAATCATATCTAGTCACAAGTGTGTGTTTACACAACTGCCATCATCCTTAGCTTGTATAGCTACCTAGCTGGCTATACAGTGTTGAGCAAGCTGCATGCTCATTTGATTGATGATCAGCTGTCTTCATCCTCTTTTATAATGCCCAACCATGTTATGATGACAAATACCTCAAATCCTGATATTTAAACATTGATTCTACTGATAGAACTTTACTGGTCTTTTTATTATTATTTTTAGTTTTTTTTCTTTTTCTTTTTAAGGTGGGGTGTATTTTTACAAAAAAATATTGTACTGTAATCTTCAGCCCATACATCTACAATTCCTGGAACTTGCACCCCCCTCCCGGCAGCCTTAGGAAATATGTATTTCATTATCACATTTCAGATACATATTATTTAGTGGAATAAGAAAACTGTTAAAGTTACCCAGTATTTGAAAGCTCACTGGGCTTAGGACTCAACATGAATATGATGACTTGATTTTTGGGAAGAGGACTTTATATGAGTATGGCAGCTAAGAAAAATTTACCAAAACACATTTTTATTATGTAAAGCAATAAAGCATCATGCTATTGTCATACTTTTTGAAAGACAGGAAGACAAGCAACAAAAATGAATAGATTTCTGCACCCAAACACAAAGGAGTTGGACTTAGGAGCAGGGAGAAGGGCTTTTGCCTCTTAAAATAGAAGGAAAATTGTCAGGCAGTTTTTAACAGCTCTTCTGTGATATGTACCTCTGTGGCACTAAGTTGCTGTGAGCAGCAGAAGCAGGAAGTTTTATAACAATGTAGCCTATTGGCATACCCACACAGGTGTGCATGGGAAGAGTAAACCGTAAATTTTTCTTACTTATATTTTGTGGTGTTTATTCAGTGATTTTAATAATTATATATTTTTTTTAAATTATTGGTGCAGAAATACAACAAAGCTCCTGCCTACCCACACCAGCTTGTTGCCAGTATAGAAAGCATTAAAGGGTTAATGATTTTAATTAAATATCACTGAGGGCACTGGCCTGTAAATGGGAAAACTAACACTAGTGGCATAAAATGGATCTTAGACAAACTAAGTGTTTTTTGACAGTGTTAGTCACCGACTGATAGAACTAATAGATCAAAGGGAGATTTAAAGTGTACTAAAGTGTATTTTATTCTTGCATGTTGTGTAAATGATGGAGGTAAAAAGAAGCATATCACTTGTTCATACTGAAAACAGTGGGAGCAAGCATGAGTCTGACCATTGCTCTTAATAAGTTGTTAATACAACAGATTAAAGATATTTGTTTATCTGTATGAAGTAATAGAAATATTCAATGTAATACATTTTTTGTTTTGTGAATACATGTATATTCACATATATGTATGTAAGGTAAAGGATGCTGAGAAACATGTAAAAAGATGTTTTGTATGCATTTTATTTTTATAGACCAAGTATATACACACACAAAATGTTATTATTTTCTTCTTAGGTGTTCGTGTGGATGGAGGGAGTGACTGGCTGTGCCTGAATCGGGACTTCGTAAATTATGTGGTAAACAGTCAAGACCAGTTAGTCACCGGGCTGAAGAAAGTCTACTCATACACTTTACTTCCTGCTGAGGTGGGTAACTGAGTGGTCGTCTTTTCACACTGTCATATTCTTTTTACATTGGGCAAGCAAGGATAAAATAGATACTGCATGTTTAAATTAACTGGAGAGAGAAAAGAAGAGGGAGAGAGAGGAGGGAGGAAAGAAACAAGAATGAGGGTGCAGTAGGGAATAAAAGGGAATAGGATCATAGAGGGGGAGGGAGAAGAAAGTGAGAAAGAAGGAAACAAAATGCTGTATATGGAAAAAGGAGAAAGAAAAAAAAGAAAAAGAAAAGAAAAGACATTAAAACTATTAGGAATACACTTAATAAATCCCCTTGTGTCCTTGCAGTCCTTCTTCCACACAGTCCTACGAAACTCGGAGTACTGCCAGTCCTTCACCGACAATAACCTGCACGTCACCAACTGGAAGAGAAAGCTCGGATGCAAGTGCCAGTACAAGCACATCGTTGACTGGTGTGGCTGCTCCCCCAACGACTTCACGCCTGGCGACTGGCCCAAGCTGGAGGTAATTCAGTTGTGTATTTTATTATATGTATTGTATTTCATTTTTATATAGCTAATGTTTTTATATGCATTTGTCTCATGCTTTTTCTGTAAGGCTTATTAACTAATTAGGTATATGAGGGACTTCATATTTTATATTATTTTTCCTGCTGATTCCTGTCCTTTTCTGAAACTAGTAATTTTGACAGTTTTTCTGCCTGCTTATTCATCATTGTTATTGTTAGTGTTGATGTTCATAATATTAGTATTAGTAATTGTATTAGTAATCATATCATTATAAGAATTTTTATTTTTATCATTGTTTTAGTAGTTAATGTTATTGTATTTTTTTTTCTTTATCATCTTTGTCTTCATCCCCATCTTAGTCTTCATCTTCACTACAATTGCTGTTATTACTCCTGCTCTAACTCCTGCTACTCCTACTCTTACTACTACTCTTACTCCTACTACTCCAGCTGCTACCACTTCTACTCTTACTCCTACTACTCCAGCTGCTGCTACTTTTACTCTTACTCCTACTACTCCTGCTCCTTATACTCCTTCTCCTACTCCTAATCCTAATCCTACTACTACCCCTACTCCTACTCCCACTGCTGCTAACTACTACAATGATTATTGTTATTGATGTTATTACTGCTGTTATTATTATTATTATTATTATTATTGTTGTTGTTATTATTATTATTATTATTATTATTATTATTATTATTATTATTATTATATTATTAATTATTATTATTATTATTATTATTATTATTATTATTATTATTATTATTATTATTATTATTATTATTATTATTATTATTATTATTATTATTATTATTATTATTATTATTATTATTTTATTTTTTATTTATTATTATTTTTAAATTTATTGATTTTATTATTATTATGATCATAATTATCATTATTATTATTACTTTTATTACTATTAAGATTTTTATCATTACTAGTATCATTATCACTGATATGATCAAAATAAATATATTATTGTTATTATTATTATTTCCATGACCATGATCATTAGTACTGATGCTGGTTTCCCCTGCCTAGTTTTTTTCTTTTTATTTCTTTGCCTACTTACATTTCCTTTTTTTTCCTTTGTCATGAGGAAAAATCCGATCATATTGGGAATAATTCCAGAAATATATGATATGTATATTGATAATTTATTGAATGATTGATTTTATTAAAGATTATGTGTATTAGAAATAAAGGTTGTTGTACTTTCTCCCACTCAGGCATCGGTCTCTCGCAATCTTTTCTTCGCCCGCAAATTTGAGGCAGTGATCAGCCAGGCCATCATCAATCAGGTGGACGGATGGCTATACACACCCTATTACACTTGTAAGTCGCTTTGTGGTGTCTTGGTTTTGTATTGGTTTTGTTTTTGCTTTTCTTCTTCTCCTCCTCCTTCTTCTTGTTCTTGTTCTTGTTCTTGTTCTTGTTCTTCTTCTTCTTCTTCTTCTTCTTCTTCTTCTTTTTTTCTTTTCTTCTTCTTCTTCTTTCTTCTTCTTCTTTTCTTCTTCTTCTTCTTTTCTTCTTCTTCTTCTTCTTCTTCTTCTTCTTCTTCTTCTTCTTCTTCTTCTTCTTCTTCTTCTTCTTCTTCTCCTCCTTCTCCTCCTCTCCTCTCCTTCTTGTTCTTGTTCTTTTCTTCTTCTTCTCCCTTCTCCTTCTCCTTCTCTTCTCCCTTCTCCTCCTCTTCTTCTTCTTCCTCTTTCTCCTTCTCCTTCTCTCTTCTCTTCTTTCTCCTTCTTTTCTTCCTTCTTCTTCTTCTCCTCTTCTTTTTCTCCTTCTTCTCCTTCTTTCTCTTCTCTTTTCTTCTTTTTTCTCCTTCTTTCCTTCTTCTCCTTCTTCTTTCTTCTTTCTCCTTCTTCTTTCTTCTCTTCTTCTTCTTTTCTTCTCTTCTTCTTCTTCTTCTTCTTCTTCTCTCTTCTTCTTCTCTTCTTCTTCTTCTTTTCTTCTTCTTCTTCTTTTCTTCTTTCCTTCTTCCTTCTTCTCCTTTTCTCCTTCTTCTCCTTTCTTCTTCTTTCTTCTCCTCTCCTCTCTCCTCCTTCTCTCTCCTCCTCCTTTCCTTCCTTCCTCCTCCTCCTCCTCCTCCTCCTCCTCTCTCCTCTCCTCCTCCTCCTCCTCCTCCTCCTCCCTCCTCCTCCTCCTTCTCCTCCTCCTCTCCTCCTCTCCTCTTCTCCTCCTCCTCCTCTTCCTCCTCCCTCTCCTCCTCTTCCTCCTCTCCTCCCTCCTCTCTCCCTCCCTCCTCCTCCTCTCTCCTCTCCTCCTCCTCCTCTTCCTCCCCTCCTCCTCCTCCTCCTCCTCCTCCTCCTCTCCTCCCTCCTCCTCTCCTCCCTTTCCTCCCCTCCACCTTCCTCCTCTTCCTCTTTCTCTCCTCTTCCTCCACCTCCTTCCTATTCCTCTTCCTCCTCCTCCTCCTCCTCCTCCTCCTCCTCCTCCTCCTCCTCCTCCTCCTCTCCTCCTCCTCCTCCTCCTCCTCCTCTTCTCTTTTTAAGTTCTACAATTCTTTGATTCTTCATTTCTTATGAATATAATGGGGATAATGATAATGAAATTGATAGTGATGGTGGAAATGGCTATAATTACGTTGATAAAGATAATTTATGGTGATGTCCATTATTGTTATTATTATTATTGTTGTTATTATAATTGTGATTGTCATTGTTTTTATACAGATTATTTTTATCTTGATTATTGTTGTTATCATAATTATTATTATTATTATTATCAGTATTACCATTGTTGTAATTATAGGAACTAATGACAATAATAATAGTTAACTTTAACATTATCATTTTTTATTTGATATTAATTCTTGTTGTTGTTATTGCTATTATTTTATGCATCATCATCATCATTCTCCTTATTTTTATTTCTCTATGTTTCACATGATGAAAAAAGTGTAATTTAGTTTCAATCTTTTTTTCAAAGCTACACCAGGGTTAGACAGCTACTGGGAGAACAGGTATCACCACGATGACCGCTACACCAGTGGCAGTGATGTGGCGCTCACTCTCTATAGCTCTGTGGCAAGACTAAGTACCCGCACAGTGACTCAGCTCATCAGTTCCAAGCATAGCAAGTGCAGTTTGTATGCTACTGGAGTCCTACAGGCACACTCATATCATTCCAATGATGAGTTTAAGGCAAGTTTCTCTCTCTCTCTCTCTCTCTCTATTTTAACTTTTGTGCTTATAGATGAGTGAATATATATGTATATCTTTTCTCTGTTCACTTGCTTTCTTGTTCTTAACCAATTTACGATGGGTGTCCCACATATGAGACACCCGAAAAAAAAAAAAATTGCTGGGCGTCCCGCCGGTCTGACGCTGGATTGGAGCTTGCACCATGGCTGGCGTGTGGGCAGATTCTGAGCCACTATTATTTTCAGCTTCAAAATATACCATCGCAAGTGCATTAATAGAGTATATGTTTATATGCAGGGTCAGCTGGTGCAGTATGTAGGGAATGTAGATGGCCAAGGTACTTTCCATCTTGAGACATGGGTCTTCCCACATGTCAAGTATCGACCACTCTTTAACCAGCGATATGAGAGGCTTTTGGTAATATTCCATAAAAAGATTTTTATGTTAAGTTGACTAATCCCTAATGATTTTAAAAGATATCAAAGATTTTCCTCAGATCACTTAACGTGGCATTGAACACAACAAATATCCACAATGACCCAAAAATTTCAGAGCATTGAAGTTGGTACGGACTTTGATGTTAAGGAGCAAGTTTTCCGCAACTTTGGCATTCCCTTTGGGCCCAACAGCGACGTAACAATTGTTACGCGATGGGGAGCGGGTATCAATGCTGACGGGATGCCGGAAGAAGGTATTGAACAGCCCACACTGGTTCTTAGTGATCCAACTGCGTCTGTTGCAGCTGGAGAGGAAATCACAGTTGATACAGGAGAACAGGTTGGTCCAGTGATCTGTTATTTATAATCATAATAGTTATTACAATAATTTTAATATCATCACCACTAGTAGTAATAGGGATTGATATTGTATGATTATTACAGTTTTTATCATTATGATCATATCAACACATTTATTACTTCCTCTCAGGTTGTAGCCCATACCTTTGAGCTGAGAAAACCACTTTTGCCTGGGTCATGGATGGTTTGGGTGTTGGTTGACAACGTGATTGTAGCGTCGCACACTTTCCTCGTCCTCCCCATGCAGTTTGTTCAGGGCCGCCAGATTTCAGTTAAGGAGGCTAAGTGAGTATGGTTTTGTTTTGGGATTTTAGGGTCTTTAATCTGTTGGATCTAAGTACCTCACATTATGTTCGTAGACAAATCCAGGCATTAGGTTTCTGTAATTGGTGACTCTTCTAGGTGTGTGGCTTGTAGGCCAGACCCACGCAAACACATATGTGCATTATCAGGACTCATTGCCCCCTATTTGCATTGATTGTTGCCCTTTTTATGTAGATGCATTTTTGCTGTTTTTGACATTTTCCAAGGTATATATTTGTCATTTGCTCTGCTGTATCAGAATGATAATAGACTTTTTGTTGTCTACACTCTGTGCCGTAACAGTAACAACAAGGAACTTGTATAGGTATTTGTATAGTTTTTAAAATTGTCATATTTTTCAGTTGTCTGTTTGCATTTTTTTTTTTTTTTTCATTATGAGATGTTCCCATTACCTGCCCCTCAGCCAATATTTTTCATCATAAGACATTCATGTCACTTACATCCAATGTGTTAATCTCTGAATAGTGTCACAGTGCTTTAGGTTGATTTGAGTGAATTAAACAGTCATTGAAATTTTTTTATGCTGTTACTTGGGTATTGAGGCATAAGGTTTTTGTTTTGTGGATGATATTGTGA